GACAGCACCTGCACCATCCGGAAAGTGAGTGTCCCTTCCCTCCTCTCTATCCACTGCTGGAAGACGGGTCGTATGGCTTCGATGGTCCTGTGCCCCGCCGTGGGGGCATCGAGCCGACTCTTCCACTCCTCCAGCACGGATTCTCTCGCGGTCCTTCGCGTTATCGCCATCTCCTCTATGGTGGCTGGTTCCCCCCTGACCAGCGCATCCACTCTACACTGGTACACCTCGCTGAGGGCCTTGGCTTCAAGGTCCCATGGAGGTGCACCAGCCAGCAAAAATGCTGCCTCAGCGGAGATGGTCCTATAGCCCCTGATAGCGCGGTTGCAGATCAACCTTTGGGGTCTTCGTAAAAGGGTGATATTGGCCGTGTTGAGGGAAGGGGCCCACACTGGTGCTCCATACAACGCCATGGACTTCAGGACTCCAGCGAACAGCCCACGACAGCTGGATCCGGGTCCTCCAATGTTTGGCAATAAGTTGCCAAGCGCTGCTGCAGCCCTTTGTACCCTGGGAATGAGCTGTTGGAAGTGCCGGTCGAACTTCCATCGACCATCCAGCACCAATCCCAGGTATTTCATCCACAGTGTGAGCGGGATAGTTTCCCCTCCAACCCTCATGTGTGCTCCTGAGGGAGGTCCTCTCCTTGGGCCGTGAAAGCAGATGGCCTCGGTTTTGCGGACCGAGACGCTCAGGCCCAGCGCCCTCATCCTGCGCATCACCAGTTCCGTGGTCCCCTGTGCTATTATTTTGGCGGTTTCAAAATTCCTCCCTTTGGCCGCCACCAGGGTATCATCAGCATAGCACAGTACTTTGGTTCTGCTGGGTAGGTTCCCTCTCAGGAGCCAGTCGTACCCAAGGTTCCACAGCAATGGTCCCAAGACCGATCCCTGTGGAACCCCGCATCTCATGCCTCTTGCCACCAATCCACTACCCGCTCTCAGGTACGTGATCTCCCTCCCCTCGAGGTAGTTCTCTACTATTCTTACCAGATAGGGGGGGAGTCTGTGGTACCTCAGTGCCCGTTTTATGCATAGGAAGGGGAGGGTGTTCAACGCGTTGCTGATGTCGAGAGACACCGCAACGACCCTTTCGTCCCTTCCTATGGCTGTCTCTGTAAACCGCTTCAGGTCCAAAATCGCGTCAATTGTGCTCCTACGTCTTCTGAATCCGTATTGTCGGTCCAATAGATTTGGGCCGACCACATCAAGGTGGTGTGTGATGCGGTCCGCCAGGATTCTCTCCAGCAATTTCCCCATCTCGTCGAGGAGCACAATTGGCCTGTACGCTGAGGGTTCACTGGGCGGTCTATTTTCCTTACGGAGGAGGCAGAGTCTGCCTCTTTTCCACTCCTGGGGGAACACTCCTTCATTGAGGCATCGGTTGAATAGGGCTTGGATGTGCTGCCCTATATGCCGGAACACCTTCGGAAATATTCTGCCCGGCACTCCATCCGGGCCAGGCGCCTTCTTCTTCCCCCGGAGTCTCAAGACCACCTCTCTAAATTCCTCCTCCGTTATTTGCGGGACATCTCTCTCCTCATTTTCCTCCTCCGGCAGAACCATGTACCTCATTGGTTCTACGGGGCTATTTGGGAAGAGGCTGTCCACCACACAGTCCAGCAATCCGGGATCGAAGGATTCCGTGGGGGGTGATTGTCTCTTCAGTCTATTACGGACCATGCGAAATGGTCTCCCCCACGGGTCCCTATTCAACTCCTCCAGAAATTCCTGCCACGACCTAGACTTGGACTCTTTTATTTCGTTCTCCAGGTCTCTCTTCCGGTCGTGGTAGTTTCTGCGCAGCCTGCTCTCTTCTTCTGGGTCTCTGTTCCTTCTCCTTCTGCAGCGTTGAAGGGCGTGCCTGGCTCGGGTGCAGCTGTTCCTTTTTTCTGCAATCTCTGCGGTCCACCAGTACATCATCAGCCCATATTCGTCCACTGCTGGACATAGGCCTCCCCAATTGCACGCCATCTATTTCGATTTTCGGCTGTTCGCATCCAGCTCCTGCCAGCCATCTTGCGCAAATCATCGCTTCACCGCGCCTGAGGACGTCCTACACTACGTTTGCCGAGACGCGGTCTCCACTCAAGAACTCGTTTACCCCAACGGTTATCGGTTCTGCGGCTAATATGGCCAGCCCACTGCCACTTCAGCTTGCTAATCCGGTGGGCTATGTCGATAACCTTGGTTCTCTGCCGGATCACCTCATTTTTGATTCGATCCCGCAGAGAAACGCCGAGCATAGCCCTTTCCATAGCGCGCTGAGCGACCTTCAACTTGTGGACCAGCCGTGCCGTCAGTGTCCACGTTTCGGCTCCGTATGTCATAACGGGTAGGACGCACTGATAAAAGACTTTTGTCTTTAGGCACTGCGGGATCGACGATGTAAAGACTCGACGTAATTTCCCAAACGCTGCCCAACCTAGCCGAACTCTTCTATTTACCTCGCTCTCGAAGTTGTTTCTACCTAACTGCAATGTTTGCCCGAGGTATACATATTTTGGAACAATTCCGAGAACGGCACCGCATACTGCAATCGGTTCCGGTAGTACGTGTTCGTTGAACATGACCTTGGTTTTATCCAAGTTCATCCGTAGGCCGATGCGCATAGAAGAGTCAGCCAGGTCATTCAGCATCTGTTGTAGGTCCTGCAGATTTTCTGCCATTATGACGATGTCGTCAGCAAATCTCAAGTGAGAGATGTACTCGCCATTGATGTTGATGCCACGTCCTTTCCAGTTCAGCGTCTTAAACATATCCTCCATTGCATTAGTAAACAATTTCGGAGACATAACGTCTCCTTGTCTCACTCCTCGATGCAACGGTATAGGACTTGTTTGCTGATTCTGTACTTGGACGGTCATGGTGGCGGCCTCATAAATACATCTTATCACTTGGATGTATCGCCAATCGACTTGGCATCGCTGCAGGGACTCCAGAACGGACCAGATCTCAATCGAGTCAAAGGCCTTCTCATAGTCCACAAATGCTAGACACAGGGGCTGATTATACTCTTCAGTCTTCTGTATAATCTGCCGCACTGTGTGGATGTGGTCTATGGTGCCGTATCCACTCCGAAACCCAGCCTGCTCCGGTGGTTGGAATTCGTCAAGTCTTTGCGCAAGACGGTTCGTGACTACTCTAGAAAACAGCTTATAGACGTGGCTTAGAAGGGAAATGGGTCGATAGTTCTTCAGCAGGGTTTTGTCTCCCTTTTTGAAGAACAGGACGACAACACTCCTACTCCACGCCTGCGGAGTTCTCCCTTCGAAGAGGACAGCATTAAAAAGCTTTTGGAGCTCCTTCAGTACTGGTTTACCTCCTGCTTTTAATAATTCAGTTGTAATGCCATCCTCTCCAGGGGCTTTTCCATTTTTAAGCTGTCTCAGAGCGATCTCGATTTCGCCAATGCTGACTTCTGGCAGATCTTCGGTGTAGTGGCGTGTTAATGTGGCTCTAGAATCCTCATTTCCGGGATCAGGTCGAGATGCATGCGAAGCGTATAACCGGGCATAGAAATTTTCTGCCTCCGAGAGGACCGCTGGCTTCGAAGCAACGACTTCCCCGCTTGCTGTGGTCAACTTCGTCAAGTGGCTTCTTCCAAGAGATTGTACGAATACTTTTGACCCCCTGTTTTGCTCGATCGCTCTTTCTATAGCGTGAGTGTTGGAGCACCGGAGGTCATATCGTACGCGTTTGCTGATCTCCTGGTTTTGTGCACGTTTTCCTGACGAAGTGACAGGTGGGTTTTCACGCCGTTCCTTCATTAGCCCCAAAGTTCTATCGGAGAGCTTAGACTTCCCGCCCTTACGCTGCATGCTACAAAATTTCGTACCTTCTTCCCTGAGTATTCGAACCACATTTTCAAGGTTCTCGTCAACGTCAATTGTGGTTTCCATGGCAGCGAATCGGTTCTCAAGATTTGACTGAAACGTTTCAGATTCCATCATGGTTTGGAGAGGAGTAGGTCGGAGCCTGGCCTTCATCAAGCGGACACGTTCAGCTTTGAAGTTGATATTCAGAGAGCCTCGGACAAGTCGGTGATCGCTGCCGGTGTTAAACCTATTGATCACGGAGACATCTCTGAATACGTGCTTTTTGTCCGTTATAATGAAGTCGATCTCATTTTTTGTCACATTGTCGGGGCTTTGCCACGTCCACTTCCTTTGGGGCTGTTTCTTAAAGAACGAGTTCATAAGGAAGAGCCCCTCCCGTTCGAGGAAGTTAACGAGCATTTGCCCCCTATCATTCCTGCTTCCAAATCCATGGGATCCTACTACCGATTCGCCGCAATTTTGTACTCCCACTTTAGCGTTAAAGTCCCCCATAACAACGCTGTAGTGGGTCTTAGTAGTGAAGTGGAGTGACCTCGATATATCATCGTACATATTCTCCACTTCATCGTCCGAGTGTGTCGAGGTCGGTGCGTACACTTGAACAACCTTGAGGCTATACCTCTTAGTGAGCTTTACAATCAGGTACGCCACCCTGTTCGACACACTGGAAATTTCTACAACGTTGTCAGAAAGGGACTTATTGACAAGAAACCCAACGCCACCTTGGGATTGTTGGTCTCCCTCGCGGAAGTACATTAGGTGGCCTGATTCGAGGGTTATGGTATCCTCCCCCTCTCTTCGGACTTCACACAATCCCAATATGTGCCACCTAATCTTTCCAAGCTCCACCTCAAGTTGAGCCAGATGCGAGTCAAGCCGTAGCGTGCGTCCGTTGTACGTCGCCAGGGTCAGTCGGTTGTGGTGGCCTCCCGTAGCCCGGAGATTCTTAGCACCCCCTGCCTCGCCGTTACCATGGTCGCCACCATGACCAGGAATAGCGAGGCCGCCGGGAACTAGGGGCCGTGGCCTTTTGTGCCTTTTCATTTGGGGGATATGCCCATAATCGCCACGCTGGGCAAGCGGGTTGGCGATCGCAGTATGGTCCAGTTCTGTGGCCCGCACAAGAAGACGCTGCTGCCCATCTCCTTGGGTTAAATTTCCCTTAGTCGCCTCTTACGACACCCACGGGATGAAAAGGGGTAGTACAATTCTATACCGGTACTACACGGTAACTACACGGTCCACCAGTACACGCCCTTCTTATGGTGCTTGTTGCGCACTTTGGGCATTGCCGCATCGCACACCGCCGCCAATGCTCCAGCGACCTCACCTGCCCGACTTTGTGCATCCTCCGAGACTGAGGAGCCACGCCTGGAATGTGGCCTCCTCCTCCAACCTTTCTATATCCATTTTGGACACCGCCCATCTTGGATATGGCGATTTCGTTGTCCCTCCCGTGGGTGTTGCAGAGGTCAGTCCAAAACGAATAAACCTGTGATCAGACAAGGACTCTGTCAACAGCACTCTCCATTCTTCCAGGCGTCCGGCCACAGCAGGGGTGGCGAAGGTAATATCCACAATAGATTCCCCCTGTGGCCGGACGCATGTAGGTACCGTCCCTCTGTTGGCAATTACATAGCCTGCCGCCGTTGCCCAGTCAAGCACTAGCCGACCTTCCCTATCTGTGACAGGGGAACCCCAAGCCGAATGTTTGGCATTGAAGTCCCCCATCACCAGCATTTGACTGGTTGCCATTCTCCCACATGCCCTTTCCAGATTTTGTAGGTGTTCCTCGTATTGCCTCGGGGTGTAATTGGGCGAGAGGTAGACACCTACGATTGTCAATTCCCCCATTCCTACAGCCACGTATCCGTCTCCCCTCTCCTTCAGGACCAAAGGGGGGGAGCTTGGGGAGGGATCCAACAGCGTGATGGCCACTTTACCGTCTCTATCTCCTATCCATAAGGGATTGTTGGTCGGAACAACATACGGCTCGGATATAACCGCTACGTCCACTCTCCAATTTCTCGCGCTGCCCAGTAGGAGGTCCTGGGAGCGCAGACAATTGTTTGTGTTCGCCTGGAGGAAACTGATTGAGGTGTTATTGGTCATTAATGTCCATTTCAATTTCCTCCGGCACTACAGCGCCTTTTCCCCTCTCCATGATTCTTGGTCGCCCTGGTCCCTTTGCTTTCACCATCGGTGGGGCGCAAGCCCTACTACCCATAATATGGTTGTGCTTCAGGCCGGCCTCCTTACAAACCAGACACTTCGCAATCTCCGAGCAATTACTTGCTTTGTGTCCTGGCTCGCCGCACCTATAGCACAAACCATTGTTGTCCCTCTCTGCTGGACATTTCGCCCTGATGTGACCCAGCCCCATGCACTTATAACACCGCATGGGGAGGGTCTCCAAGTGCCGAACCCTGGCGCTTGTCCAGCCGACTAACAGTCTGCCTTTCGCTACGATCCTCTTGCCAGCTGCTACGGGGCACTTGGTCATCACAGCTCCTAGTCCTCCCGGCCCTAGCCTGATCTCCCCAATCTTAATATTGTCAGGGGGGCACTCTCCCTGTGCTGCTATCGCCTCCCTTACATCTTCCTTAGTAATGGAGTCGTCTAGGTCTAGCACTCTGAGGTCGATGCACTTAACCGGTCGAGAGACAATAACTTTGTCTCCAAGTTTTTCTTTTAGCTTTTTGGCCAGTGCATCGGCCTTTTCTGGGTTTGATTCCCCGGACACTTCCAACAGCCTGGCCCCCGTCGCAGCATGTCTTAACTTTAGATTTTCCCTGCCAATTTTAAGTTCTGACAGGTCAATCTCCCTTCGCGCGACTGCCAGGACCTGACTAAAGTTGGTCCCCTTGTCCAATTCTTCCTGTGGCAGGGTTACAACCACCGCAGCCGTTTTGGGTACCCTAATCCTCTTCTTCCTATTTTTCCTCTTCCGGCTAGGGGTTTTTGGTTTGGCTTGTACCTCAGGAGCCTTAGAGGTACCTGTCTGTTGGACGGTGTTCTGCCTCCTGAGGTCTTCCTTTCCTTTTCCCTTGGTTTGCTCCTTCTTCCTCCCTTCTCCTTTTTTCTTTGTCTGTCTTTTTGTTACTTCAGCGTATGTTTCCTTTCCTTTTTCTTGACTTTTCCCCTTCTTCTTTCTGCTTACCTTCTGCCAGGTCCCTTCTTCTTCTGTACTGGTGTCTTGGTCTGTATCTGTCGGTATGTATACGGGAGGTAGCAGGTTATTTTTAATTTTCTCTGCTTTTTCCCTTTCTCCTACCGTCGTTCTCGATCTCGACACTTTCCTATTTTCCCTTCCTAGTTCATCCTTCTCCTTTTCTCCTCTTCCTTCCTTTTTCTTTTCCTTTCCTTCTCTTTTTCTTAGGTCAGCCGCGAGCGGTGGTCTACGCACGGGTTCTGGGAGAAGTCTCTCCTGTAGCCCATCTATTCATGCTGTGACCATCGTTCCTGCCGTTATCGCCATCTGTCTCTTAATTTCCTCTACTTTTCCCTCTAACATTATATTCAACCATGTAATTATTGGTGACTCCGGACCTAGTTCATTTAGGTCCTGGGTCCCTAGTGCTTTCATGGCCATCCTCCCTTCTTTCAGCTGTTTAGTAGCTTCCTCGTATCCTTTTTTATATCCCCTCATTTCTTCTATACATTTCTTTAATTCGGAGTTAAGCCGTTTATTATCCGCCTCCAGTCGCAAGACTTTTTGACGGATTGACTCTTCCTCCTCCTGTTTGTCCTGTTTCTCCTGTTTCCTATAGTTCGTGTTTTTTCCCATTGTCCCTCTTCCTTTTTCTATTCCTCCTGCCCTTTTGGGCGGGGGGGACTTCGTTTCCAAGTCCTGTCTTTCTCTCTCCCTAATTTGGTATTCCTCCTCTTCTCCCGTTTTCGATCTTATCCTTTTCCTTTTTTCCCCCTTGCTTGTTTCTAAGACCTTTCTATCGCAGCATTCTGAGTCTATCTCCATGGATTCCCCTGATTCTAAATTTCCCTCACTTTCCTCACTGTCCGTATCCTGTTTTTGTCCTTCCGGATTTCCACTCTCTAATTTCTCTATTTTCTTTGCGATATCCTTATTGGTTTGGTCTACGCCCCAACTCTCTCCCGTGGACGTAGGCTGTCCTCTAGGGATATCAGTTTTCCTTTCTTTCCCCTCTATATTTTTCTCTTTTACAGAGCTTTCCTCTTTCTCTAGTCTTGTTTCTTCTCTTCTTATTTTTTCCGAAACCGTTTGAGTTACAAGGAGCTCCTTACTTCCTCGGGTAGAGCTTCTTGTCACTCTCTTTCCGGGTTCCATGTTACCTACTTCCTCTTTCGACGAGCTTCTTTTCTCTTTCATCTCGTTCGTCTTTCCTCCCGTCCTCATCATACTTGTCTTATTCATTTTTACCATCATGTTTTCTCCGAAAGGCAATGTAAGATTTCTATTGCCAACACTTCCCTCTCCTTTCTTTTCTCCGACTTTTCCTACCCTTTCCTTTCCTGTCTTTTTCCCCACTCTCTCCGTTTCTTCCTCTCCCATCTTCTCCGTTTCTTCCATTTTTCGGCTCTGTTTAGTCGCCACTGAGCTCTGGCTATCACTGTAAGCGATTATTCCACTCTGCCGAGTGTGTGGAGCCTGTGACAGGTGTTGACGCGATAGCTCAGCGCCATCACCTGTCACGAGGGATTCTCCGCATCCCGCGGTACCCTCCGGCAGTATCCCATTTTCATAATTCGCCATTTCATGATTTGTTTCCCCTGTTTTAGGCTCGAGGAGCTCCTTTCCCTTTTCCCCCCCAGTTGGTTTTTTATAGAGGTATGCTCCTCTTGGCCCCCACTGATCAGTGGCGGCCCCCGCTCCCGCACTACGTACGGGGTTACGGGCGTGGCCGGTGGAGATCCCGATTGGGACCTCACCAGTGGATCTCACAGGTGCGGGTAAACCGCACACACCTGTGTGATGCACTGGTACGCACCGCCCACTAAACAACGACGCCCCGGTCGTGGCTCGAAGCGAGCCTTACCGCCCCTCCTAGACCTCACAACGCAGGACATCCCCCCCCCCCCCAACTTGACCCTTGCAGGTCCCCTTTCCCCCCCTCGGCGGCCGCCACCCGGAATATGTCCGGGACGCCCGCCGAGCCCCCAGTGTCGGACTCTTGGCCATAGGGACCGATGGATCAGCTAACGCTGAATTCATCCTTCCCTATGCCCGGGGTACACCGGCCCGCGACAATGGCGGATCCGCTCCCAATGGGAGCTGATCATCCATTGTAGCAGGCGCGCGAGGAGGTGTTCCGACCACGTACCCCACCGAGCTGATACCTATTATTATTGCATTGCCGTTTTCGGCAATTTTCAATAGTATGATCTACATTTTTGCAGTACCTACAAACCAAATCGCTAGTATTGCGCCTTGGTTGTTCTACACGAATATTCTGTTGAAATTGTGAAGCAGGAGGTCGTAACTGAAATTCACGACGTTGTAAAGGTCTCTGTCTATCGTTGCTGCTAAAAGCAGCCGAAGTTTTTCTGTTTAGGCTTAGTAACGTTTTTTCTTCGGCCACTGCGAAGTTCATCGCCGCATTTAAGGTATCTGGGTTTCGGCACCTTACAATCTGAGATAAACGCGGATGAAGTCCTACTATGAAGGTATGGAGAGCTAGGTCTTCCATTGCTGCTACTCTTCCGGCGAGTTCGGCCTTTCGTTTAGAAGGTATTGAAATGTTAATTTCCGTTAAAAGTTTCGCAAGACATGTTTCTATTTTGAGAGCGAATTGATTAACAGTTTCAGTCATTGATTGCCTACAATCTTGAAGTTCCGAAAGTAAGTGGGCGTAATGTTTTCGCTCATCAAACTGTTGCTTTAAGAAATCTAGAAATTGGTCTAGAGTGTCAAATTCTTTAATACTACAAGTGGTTTCCGCTCTGCCTTCAAGTTGGCTGAGGATGTATTTAAATAAAATCGATCTTTGCGTTTTATTAGCAAGATTGTAAGCATTCTGGCAATTAGTAATAAATGAATTTAGTTTTTCACGAGACCCATCAAAAGGTTTGATGAATTTTATGAGAACACTGAGGTCTACTATTTTTCGTCGGGTTCGTTACGGGTAGAGATCGACCGGGTATGGGTATACCCAGGTCCAGAGGTTTCAGAGTCAGACTTGGTTGCCATATTTATTAATGTTTAACAAACTTAAAATTAAAA